TGACAGTCCAGAGCAGAAAACAGATTTCCGTGCTCGGATTTTCTATGTTATTTTTGTGCGTCATTCACATTTTAGTCGCTGGACATGGCTTAAAGTGCCACTAATGGCACAGAATTAACGTCGGTATAGGCTCGTTCTACAAATATCACGTAAAATCGCCTAAATATCTTTCCGGAAATTCTAAAAAATACTCCTAAATATCACAAAAAAATTTCTTGAAAAACCCTCTAATTATCTCATATTTGTGTCGTAAACATGCACCGATTTTGAATCACTTAGGCCGAAATTTTAAAATTTCTTGCAGTGGCAGGAGTTGAGGAAGAAGAGTCAGGCGCTTCGATGTTAACAATATCCGCCATTTTTGAAATTTGTTCCTTCAGCGCTTTTAGTGATATGCATGGAATACATTTTTCAAGTGGGAAATCGCTGAGCCGGATTGTTTCTGGCATAAATCAGAGTCTTGTTTCGAGGGAATAGCGAGGGAAACACAGGGCTTAGCCAAAAAAAGCTGTGAATATTGCTAAATATCCCTAAATTTTCTGAATATCTTAATATTTTCTAAATATCTCGGAAAATTCTAAATATCCCAAGAAATATCCGGAAAGGCCTACGTCGGTATATGTTCTCTTTCTTTTTTTCCAATAAACCATAAGCTATACCTGAGTTCATTTAGTCGCGTGTTTGTAACTTTGTCAGATTTGGTAAAATGTGCAAATGTTCCGCGTCCCTCTCGTTAATGCAGCACAAAAAGACATTCATTAAAACGGAGTTTTTCTCTTTATATTGCTGGCTTGAAAACGAAGATAAGACTGAAAAAGACAGGTCGTAAGTCGATGTTTAGTAAATTGAGTTCATCGCCAATAAATTATTGTTTTACAAATGTATTGCATTTTTTTAGTGCGCCGTCAAGCATTAGAAGTCTCTCGGAAACAGCGTTCCGTTTGCGCGAATGCAGACTTACAAAAACACCCAGAAGAGGCTACGCCCTCGAGAAGAAGATGATTGGTTAAAATTTTGTGACAGTGTTCAAATCTTAAATTTTCATTGGTTCGCTATAAATAACAGCTAGTAATAAATACACATATAAATTCAGCTGTTGTCAAACCAAGTCAGTATCTACAGGAACAAAAATTCTGCCGTCACAAAAGAGATTGCGCCTTTCAACTCCGTTACGATGAAATCTGTTTTCGTCCTCGCCTTTCTTCTTTGCATTTCCGTCGGTAAGTTCTATAAAGATCATAGTATTGCCGAACGTTTTATTTGTCTGATTCATTTATTTCATGTTTGAAGCTCGATTTTGGCCATAACACAACTACAGCAGGCTCTGTTTCGCAAGCGGTAGTGTACTCTGAAGAATCGATTATAATTTCAGTATTATTTACTTGATCTTGTTCATTTACCCAAACGTTAGCTGGGAAGTGTGTAGTGACAATTTAGGAGAAGTGAGAGGAGAGACTTTGTTGCTGTACTTTTGACTTTTGAACGCTTTTTGAGCTCAAAACTATCGTAGGGATTATTACAATTCAGCACTGGAATGTCAACAGCCAGCGCCCATTTGTCTGATGCATCGCTCAACTGCTGCTCAGAAAACCAACAAACAGGGTATATTTTTGGACGCCTTTTTGATTCATTTCATTTATTTTGGTGGATTAAGAGCAGATTTGAAGTTTGTTAACATTTGAGCTTGTTTCTGTGAAAGCATTTGCTCTTTCATGCAGGTATGCCTCCTAACGCGGAAAATCGCACAATGAGGGAGGCCTTCGGCGCGTTAAGCAGTTAAGAAATGTACGGTAGTGCGTTTTCTCTTTGTACTGAATCATATGTCTGATAAGGAATAGGACAGAATTTAAAGAAATTTCAGTCATTACCTTGCAGGGGAACGAGAGGAGAATCCACTGATCAATGTCAACGAGGCAGCGCCCTAATTATGAACATCAAATTTACAATTGCCCAGCTGCATCAGCTTAGCTTCTTTTCAAGATTGAAAAAAATCCGGTTTTGACTTAGAGTTTCTCATCATTAGCGACTATTGTGTGGTTATTGCTTCTAATATTGATTAAAAACAAAATGCTAGTGGTTTCAAGGTTGCGAAGGGTTGTACAAAACGAACAACAATTCTCTCGCTGCAATGCAGTAAATCAACGAGCAGCGCCAATTCTCTTGACCTCAATAAGAATCAAACACTATTCTACCGCCGGCATTTCAATACCTTCTAGCTGGACTTCTGAATCAAGAAAATTTCCTTTAGAAGCAGTTTGTGTTGTGGAGTGTTTCCTTTACAGTAATTTGCATTCATTGCAATTCTGCTCTGTTCATTCCTTTTCTTTATTAGCGGTTTTTTCTGTCTTTATTTCATCAGATCAGTACAATCAGTTTTTCTAATGTGAAACTTGAATCTAGACTAGTTTCATCTGGTCACATAATACCACCAAACTGCGAACTATTTAACAGTTCACATTTGTTAGCTTTCGTTTCTGAATAAAATTTGCAGAAAAGTTTGGAGTGACAGTTTGATTGTTGCTTTCTTCAGAGTGGTTCTTTTAAGTTAAGATCGAAACTACAGGGTTCAGGGTAGCATTAGAAGAGGTAGAACGACACAAAGCTGACCAAAAGAGACGCTTGTTGATGTTAGACATATTAACAAAAGAAATCGAGAAGGCGGTTTTCGGGATGTTGCAGCTCGCTGGTTAACTTCTATCTAGTTGCGTATTAATTTGGACTCCGTTTATAGATGTGGTGATTTATGCAAATATTCAGACATAAGACACAAGCGTGTTTATAGTAGTGCTTTAACGCACTTTTGACAGTCGAAAGTAGATGATGCTTGCCCTGAAGCTAAACCCGGGATATTTTTTTCTTTCTACTTTTGTCCTATCTGCCAAAACTAAAGCCGTCCACCTTCTCCGCTCGCCCCCTCCCTGGCGTGTTCGTATTTTCAATGACTCTGCATCTGAGTGAAATTTGTGTGGGAAGACAGCACTTAGTGATGCCAGGAGCTATAATCGGGGACGGAGACCGTAAGCGCGTACCATTTCTAGTATTGGGGTTGACCCATGATATGGGACAATAATTCTATTTTTAGAACAAATTGCGCCATCGCCTGCGGCACACGCGCGTA